TTCAAAAGCCACAAAATTTGGGTTGCAAAATGTGTCAGGGACTACTGAAAATGGGGCGTAGGTTTTGAAAACTTTTGGAGCACATGAGGATTTTACCCAAGGTCTTCCACTTTTTAAAGTTGATAATATAATCTATTGCTTAATATCATTTCTCTTAAAGGCAGAGGTCTGTCAGCCTGGCTGTTCTGTATTGATTTAATGATGTGAAGTTTCTGGTGTATGTGAAATAAGTCATTATTCATCAGTCTTGTGGCCTGATTTATGTAGGGCTGAGCTGTGCTGATCCATTTTTTAAAAACATGAATCCCAAGTTTGTGAACTGAGTTGAAACAACCAAATTTAGCTAGATTTTTAAAAGTAGCACAGCTGGATTCATTGTGACCCAGGAGAAAACTTTCATTCTTGAAAAGCAATGGACTCAAATCTTGGCTGATGTGGTATACATTGAAATCCATTTAACTATGTTAATCTACACCAGTCAAGATTCTTTCCCAATAATTCTTTTTTACTGCAGTGTTTAGTATCTACAAGTTGCCTTTCTGAGCCCTCTCAAATTGATAGGGAGTAATTTTCAATACCCAGATTTATATTGTAACACTAAAATATTTGCTCGGTGACTTCCCTCCCCCCCACTTTTAACCATGTTATGCTGCAGGAAATTAAGTGCATGATGAAGATAACCTAAAATAGGAAATAGGTCTGACAGCCACAGCCTGTGACACTGTTAAATGGATCACGCTGCTTCCTTTATCAGGAAAACTGCTCTTCATTGTCAATTTATTATTGGTCAAGAATTATTATAGAGAGATTAATGATTTTAAATGATAGATTGCAGGCTAAGCAGCAAATTATTTTTTATAACCCATGGCATACAATGAATCGGTGACTTTCTAAGTTAATTATATTGACATTTTCAGGTATTAATTTGAAAAAATAGGAACAGTAAAGTTTTTACTGGTCAATTTAAATGTCTTTTTTAAAATTCTTTTGCCCTTGAGGACTTAAAGATTAGTGATTGTGGTTGGACTAGTGCTGGGAAGGGGGTTAAAAATCTTTAATCTGATAGATTTTGTGTTTTCAGAGTAAAGAAAAAAAATCCATCATGTGCAAATTTACTTAAAAAAGCAGAAACATGTGTTTAAAAATATGCACCAATCATCAGGAGAGATGCAGCTGTTTTGCTCTGCTCCTTGTCATTTATCATTAGTCAAATAGAGTTTCTCCAGAAAGTTTTCCAGGAATGTTTCTCACAAAAATATATTTAATACACAATATACATACCATGGCAGCCTTAAACACTTGCCAGCTGACTTTAGATAACTAAGAGGACTGCTTGGCCCTTATTTGAGAGCATAATACTGAGAAAGGGCATCGGGGGCCCTGTTTACTTCATTCCCCCCGCACTTTGTTGCCTTTATAGAACCAGATAGACATGTAGCCCCTGTGCATAGTATGAACTGCTCTGCTGCCGTAATGTCTCAAGAGAATCACCTCCCCTCTCCCTCCCCCTCCCCACACACAATTTCCTAAGAGCAAGGAGCAGAGTGGGCAGGTGGTGGCCCTGCTGCCCTCCTTCACCATATGGGGTGCTGGCTGGCTAGTTGGTGGGACTTGTAAATGGTACCTTAACAGTTCCTTAATTCTGGCAATTAGTAATTAGTAACTTTTGAACACTATATTTCTCTGTGTTACTAATATTTTTAGTATAAAATTATGCTGATTCTGAATTGTCAGAAATTCCATCGTGCTGCATCATGCTGACACTCACATGGGTAATCAGCATGATTGGAACCCTTACAATCCACCACACAGACCTCTGTCACTTGAGCTAACATCGTAAGTAATAGCAGTAGTAAGTCATCTATCATTCTTCACGTGGATCAGCAGTAGAGGAGGTTAAAACACATTGGCCAGGTACATCTGTACCTAGTAAAAAAGCCCAAGGTGGAATCAATCTAAATTATGCAGTTTCTGTAAGCGACTTAGTTTAGATGGGTAGCAAACAGAATATATGTTCACTCTTTGGTGGGGGTGACATCTTAAATCAGGTTCCACCATTTTTAAACCAATCTGTGTGTGCTGAACTTCTTTTCTGTTATGGGTATGGACAGGTTTTATGTGCCAAACTTCTGTTCTGTTATGGCTATAGACTGGTTATGATCACTTATACTGCTAAAAGTCTGTACCTGGCCATTGTGTCAACAGGTCTCACAAATGCTTGCTCACATCCCACTTCTGGCTCCTTGTTCTAGTCCTACTTCTATTTAGGATCGGGAGTGGGTGAGATGTGATGACTGCCACTTAACTCTCTTGTGTGATATCTGAGCACAGACACTAATGGGCTTTAACCATGTTATCCCAATGATCTGCCTGGGCTTGGAATGGTACTGAGACTTGAACTACCAGCATCATTTTTAATTATGTTTGCATGTGTGCTCATGCACTTACTCATGTATACACATCAAACATGCTGATAAGAAAGTACTGAATGAGTATTTTTTTTTAAATATTTCCATGGTGTACATATAAGCTGAGGCCCTAATTTTAGAAAGAATTAATATGTGCTTAATTTGTTTTACTGACCCAGTGGTGCTACTCATAATTCCTTTAAGAATTTGGTAGTGTCTGGTCTTAAAAAAAGGGAGGCCACATAGAGTGCTTTGGGGGAAACTGGGCTTTTTCTGATGCTGTTACAAATCTATTGGCACAAATCTTTCAAAGACAATACATTTCTGTAAAAGAAACTGATTTTTTTTTTAAATAAGAAAGATGCATAAAGCCTCATAGTTTTAATTCCTTAAGGTAGTTTAATATCCAAAAAATATAGTGTGAAAGATTCTCTTTTAAAAATGTTCTTTTCCAATTAGTCATGGCTGCTGGAGGGCTAAGTTAATATCAAAGGCCTCCAATTCACTGAATAACAGAAAGTCTGACAGATATTAGTTTTTGCCTTCTTTATAGAACACTTGTGGTTCACTGGTGTGATGTAATTCTCAAGAATCACCCCTTCACTTAACTCATGTGTAACTTTTCCTTTTAGTGTCTTGGAGTGTATTTAGTACTTACTTGGGTGCATCTACATGTGCATTTAACTGCACAGTAGACTAATTTGCTGCAGTGTAAAGCATCACAGTCTACACGTGGGATGCTATTAGACTTCAGCAAACACATTTTCATTGCCTTATGGGGGTGAAAATAACTGTGCCTGAATGCACGTGTAAACACTGACCCAGGCATAAATTGTGCCTGGTCAGCCCAGGTAGCAGGCAGCCAGACCCCTGCCTGTTGCTTAGCCATACAGCACTGCCTTTTGGGCACTCTCATGCCCCAGCCAGCCCCTTTGCCACCTGATGCTGCAACCTGGAACCTGGGGCTGACACCCTGAGCCTGCTGCTAGTGTGGAGCTGCTCCACCGTGGCTCAAACTACTGTGATCCTGGGCACATGTGTAGACACTGCACCTGGGAGCTGTTAACTCCAGCACAAAGTGCACCAGAATTTACTGCTCTGCACTAATAGAATGTGTATATGCCCCCCTGTATACTGTAATTTTTTAAGATACTGGTACTCATCAAATAAGTCATCATTGCTTCACTTTCTTATGTATTTATCCCAATGTATCTTTTTGAAAAATCAGAAGGAATTTCTCATGGATTAGCTAATTCAAGTGGTAGAAATTCAAGTTCTCATCCCCAGAACTGGTCACCCTTGCCACACCCTAGCTGTACCAGCAATTGTGGCATTAAGAATAGAGGACTGTTTAATTCCAAATGACAATTCTTGTTCTATGAATTTGGGCAAGTTACTTAGCCACTCTCTCAGCTTCCTTAGCTGTAAAATGGGGATAAGAGCTTTTGTAAAGCATTTTGAGAGTCTCCTCTAGGGCTTCATCCTGTTCTTACTCCAGTCAATAGGAAAACTTCTGTTGACTAGACTGTTACGTGATCAAGGCCAGATATAAGTTGCAATGTAAGTGCAAAGTGTAATATGAAATTGTTTGTTTTAAACTTACGTTATCAATTTGACTAGTTGTAAATATGCTTGAAGGAGGCTTTTAGGAGAGTTTACCAGTTAGTTTACCAGTAAACTAAAGAGAGTATACACTAAAACTGAAAATTAGGATTTTGGTGATGGGGCGGTTTGTATTAATTTCAAGATCTATCAAGTCACATCAAGCCTGATCCTACAAAGCACTACTATTGCACACGTTTTTCTTTCTGATATCAACTGAGCAGTGCTTTCACTAATGTTTTCTCTTCATATTATGTTAAAGTGTGGCTCTACTCTGAAAGTGGCTCTGTAAAAATGGCACTTTGTAAGTTGTCAGGTCTGCTTGTTTTAGTGACTATAGTATGTCTTTAATATTTTTATAATTCCAGAGTCAATAAGAGCTAGGAGGAGTGAGTAGGATTCTGTTCTGGCTTGTGCATCATAATTAGGATAATTTGAAACTAAGTTTGGTTTTCAGACTATTGTTTGTCACACATGGATCAGAAAGAACGGAGCTTCCATTTGAGAATCCAGTGGAAGTTTTCAGGATTGAAATTTAGAGAAAAAAAATCCTGTAAACTAAGCAGATTTGGCCTAGGCAGTGAATTACATAAAATACAAAGCTTCCGTAGTGCCAATTTAACGGTCATTTTCAGAGTAGAAACACTCTTTAAAAATTCTTCCAGATCTTTCCTTTCACTTTTGTCCTTTGATTCAAAGATCAATACATTAAAATGTTTTTAAACCATACTTAGAAAAATTTTCCATTTTGTTTACAAATCTGATAGCATCTGGCTCATCAAATATTCTTTACCCATAAATCTTCATAAAATAACCATTACCTTTTAAATTACTTATGTCATGGCATTATCCATATTGATGAAATTTTAAATGTAAGATGGTGAAGGATGAACTGCTAAACATGGTCTCTAAAGTAATAGTACCAGATTCTTGTGGTTTGTGATAGTATACTTGATATTAATATTTAATATCCTTTCCATTCCATTATAGCCCATCCCTGCCTGCCCTTGATTGGCAGTTGCCATCTCACTCAGGACCTTATGAACTTCGGATTGAAGTGCAGCCGAAATCTCATCACAGAGCTCATTATGAGACGGAAGGAAGTCGAGGGGCTGTGAAGGCATCTGCTGGGGGACATCCTATTGTGCAGGTATCAATATTTGTATTGGCAGGGAGGCTTGTTTATCCTGGCATACTGTGGCTAGCACCCCTCTACTCTTGCAAAAAAGGGCCATGAGATCTTTAATGACCAAAAAGAGATGAGCATATGTGTATATATGTGTGTGTGTGTATATATATATGTGTGTGTGTGTGTATGTGTGTATATATGCCTTTACATCTGTAGATCAATGTTCAAGAAATAAAAGGCAGCTATATATATTTTCTTTCTTACTTTCCTTTTCCCTTCTCTTTGTTGCTGTAGTTGCATCAAAATGAAGAAGCAGCTACAAATAGATAAATATCTTTTCTGTGCACTAGCACCCAGCTCAACAAACATTTGGCTAGAAGCTAAAAATTGAGGGCCCATTTTACCTGTCAGAGTACACCCATGCAAATCCCACTGAAGGGTAAATTCCTCGGTTTATTTAGTTCTTACTCATGGCTGGATCCATTTGAAGATTTGAATGTGTGTTATAGGGAAAAGGTAAGCCCGTATTATGGAAAATTCAGTAAATTAGGGGAAAATGTAGAATCATTTGAAATATGTTCTGTTGTAATCCTTCTACCTCTCCAGACACTAGTATGTATCTGAAACCCTAATCTAATATAAGGGATCCTGCTAACATTTTAATTTCTATATATTCCGTATTTAATAGTGTCAAATTGAATGAGATTAATCTCATTCATTTTAATGGGACTTCTTGCAGGAACAGGAGCAGCAAGATTTGTGTTCCATTTGGCTGTACAGAATGGCAATTTGCAGGACTTTCTCCAGTAAGAAGTGTTAGATAGGAGATGAGTGAATCCTATGACTCTCCTTCTCCAGAATGTAAACGTTTTAGTTTAAAAGTTTTGAAACCTTCTCTATTGAATCCCATTTCTAAAGCATAATAGACTGTTCCATTTGCTCACACAATCAGTCCCACTAAAGTCAGCAGGACTGATTATATAAGGCCAGGGGTTGGATGCAGACCCATAACATTTGTTTTAAGCTAGGTGCTTGTTCAGGGGGTAGCATCCTTGCATCCAAAGATCAGCTATATGGCTGAACGGTTTCTGACCTAGACAGAGGCTGTGCATACAAATATTGCATGTATTTGTGTAATTGCTTTAAAATCACTTATAGATTATCCAACAAATCTATTATTCAGATTGGAATCCTATTCCTTGAAGGAATGATGCAACCTTAATAAAGATGATACTTGGCAGGGAATGCTATGTATATTTTGTATTCCAGTGAAATAGCTGAAGAGACTCTGAAAGTGTGTCAGCAGTCAAACATGGTTTGTCTGTCTCTGCCAAAACTCATCAGTGACATGGGATTATGAGGGAGACCTGCTGAAAGACTAAGGATTTTAGCAGAACATTTGTGAATGGCATTGTGAACGTGAGTGTTGTGGCAGCACACTTGATGACTATTACTACATACTCTGTTAGCTGCTTTCATGCAAGAAAATGTAAATATGAAGCATCTATTTACAGTGGGCAACTTGACATTTAAAATGTTCAGCTCACTTTACAGAAAAAATGAAGATGTTGCCAACACTTAATTGGCATCCAGGCACTCTTCCTATCATCTCCTGTACCAGTGTGCAGGGAATGAAGTATATGACCTCTGACTAGATAGGTTTGGTGGAAAGGAAAGGAAAGGAGAAAAAGAAAGAGAAACAGAAAGAGAAAAGTAGAGGAGGAAGACTGGATGGAAGAAAGATGACAAAGAAGGAAAAGGAAATAATTAAAAAAAAATAAAGTACCCATTTCAGTCAGACCAATTTACAGTTTGATAAAGATGAATCTATTTCACAGCCTTCCTATTGCAACAGGGAGTTTAAACTTCTCATCCCAATTCCCACCTCTCCAAAGGAAACAGAAAAACAAAAGGTAACTTTTCCCCCCTACACTAAACTGTGTTAGAGTTAGCTGTTCAGAAAAAACTAACTTTGCTTCTCTGACAAAGATAGCACTTGGGCTTTTTAAAGAACAAATTATATACAAGAAGAGATAATCTAGAACTCCTACCAGTGGGAAGTGAGAACTTTCATAGCTGTATTAGGACACTGAGGGTGATTTCTGATAAGCCTGGGACTGGCCAGAAGTGAGAAATGAAGATCTGAAACTGAGTGAGATTGTTTCGGTCTCCGTTTTGGTTTAGTCCATTATCTCTCTCCCCACGTATAGACATTGGTCCAAGGTTCAGAGTCCCCATCCTTGTGTGAAACTTCACAACCATGCAGTGCATGTAAGAATGAGGGTTTGGTTTGGGTTCTTCCTTCTGATAGAGTCTGGTGTTTCTGATTGTGTTACCTCATTCAAACCCATCATACAAATCTGCTGCCCCTGTCCCCACTGCCTCTCTGCACCATGTAGCCTATTGTCTTGTCCTAGCAGTTGTAGGTTTCAATGGTGATTATTTTGGTGCTTTTGGTTTAAACACACTTATTTTGGTGCTTTTGTTGCACACTTATGCCCCTGCCTGAAGGGAAAATGCAGTGGAAAAGACCCAAAAATCAACGGAGAAATGAGGGGAGCATTAACTTCATGCCACTTGCTCAGACCCCCAGCAAACCATTCCAGCCCAAAGAAGCTTCCCCTCCTTTTCTGTCTCACAAACACACTAACACAAACACCCTTTGTTCAGGGAGGGGAGGTAGACTCAGAAAGCAGCCTTGGAAGTAGCTCAGTTCCCCAGCAAAAAAGGTTAAATGTTGTGGCAAACTGCCATGTAGGTTACTGTTCTCCAGCCAGACATTATTTGCCTCTGTTTCCCCCCACCACCCCACCTCCCCCTTAATGGTCATTAGTTTTCTCATCACAGCAATAGCTCCCCTTGAAGGTGGTGGGAAAGTACAGGTGTGGGGAGAAGCCAGTGACTCCTCAGGTAAACAGTCTGCCAGAAGGGAGCACGGCAGGAGGGCAGGCTCCTCTCATGTGTATGACAGGAACTACAGGCCTTGAGGATAACTTTCTCTTGGGTCCTCAAGGCAGGTGAAAGTCATCTCTGCTGCAGAGGAGGTCACTGTGTTAGCTTTACATTGCAGCTTAGTGTTAGAAACAAAGGCCGTGTTGATACACAACATGTCATTCATCTTATTCCAAAATCATATTGTCCTGCACATAGTGGCAAGGAGTCAAGAAAGGGAGCATTTACCTAATTCCATTGCCACCTTGCCAAATAAAACTCTATGCAAATAGCACAAGGAGGCTATAACCCAAAGGTTATTTGAGCCCTGACCCCACCCTGGAGGTTACAAGTCACTTTCCAGCCCATGTGCACCCTCCAGCTTGCCAGGGATGATTGCCATAGGATTTCACCCAGCATGATTTTATGCCTCCAGGAATTTCATTCAGTTCAGAAGTGCCCATCCCCACTCCCAGATTTACTTTATTGATGGATTTTTGTGCATGCAAATCTGCATGTAGAGGCACTCTGCCACAGGAGCCCCTTCTTTCCGTGTTACCCTCCTACACATTTCCTTTTTACTTGTTTGGGTGTTTGGTTGCCATTGCAGCCCCAAGCTATCTGTTCTTGATTTCTAAATGTTTTGAGAGTGGGCTGTGCTGACACACCTAGCAAGCTAAAAACACTTCAGAACATGGGCAAATTATAGTTGCTGGTGAGTTGGTGCTGATGAGGTAATGGTTGGCAAGGGTTTTTATACCTTGGCTTGTAGAAATATATTACTAGTTATAATGATTCTATAGGTGATACTTTCCCCTCTGAGTCAGTCCTGTGGAAGTATATTGTGCTGCTGGAGGTGCCAGATTAGATTGAAAACTGAGACCCTCACCGTTTGAGAACCAAAAGCAAGTAATCACTGTAATATACTGCATTTTCTGCAGAGGTCGAAGTTACTAACCCTCAAGTTTTTTGACGTACAATTAGATCCTAAAGTGATAGGCAAAATAGAAAATTTGAAAACAAATCCACTAAAGATTTCTGGACAAACTGCAATTGGAGTGAGTTGGCTTTAGATACACCAGTGATGAATTTGACACACCATTTGTACAGCCTATAATCTTCCTCTGGTAATTTCATTTGGAGCTATTTCCCATTTTTCATTCTAAAAATGGTTGAGTTGGTACTGTACAAAATGGCTGTTGCATTTGACCCAAAGGTAGCTGCATTCAGCTGCAGGTAAGTAGTCTAGTACAGTGGTTCTCAACCTTTTTCGTACTGGGACCCATTTGCCAAGACTGATAGCTTGTCCCAACCCATGCCCACCTGGCCCTGACAGTGCCTGACCCACAGTCCCCTGCCCCCCCACCCCGGGCCATGCTGGGGCCCCTCACCCACAAGCTACAGCCCACTGGCCCTGCTGGCACCCTTCACCCCCAAGCCACAGCCCCCTGGCCTTGCTGGCACCCTTCACCTCTAAGCCACTGTCCCTTGGCCCTGATGGTGCCCTTTGCCTCCAAGCGACTGTCCCCTGGCCTGCCGGCACCCCTCGCTCCCAAGCCACAGCCCCCTGCCCCCTAGGCCATGCTGGTGTCCCTCACTCCCAACCTGCAGTCCTCTGTCCCTCCCCAACCCTGCTGGAGGGGGCCTCTAGCTGCTTCCGTCCTGCTTGGGCCAAAGTGCAAGCAGAGAGCGTGGACCTCTGCATGTATGGACACTGGCTACCTGCCGCCAGCTCAGGCACATAGGTCCCCTCTGGGAAGGACTGCCCCTGGCTCCTTCCCACACTGAAGGGCCAGGCACCTTCCCCCCTTCCCCTACCCTGCTCCCCCTTCCCTGCTGCAGCCCCACACACAGCCATTGTCCCCAGTGTCAGCAGGTACGCACGCACACACCCATGCACACATGCCTACACATGCCCCCCCCCAGCCCTCCGGACAGTCCCCTGGACTTCCATCCTCTGCTCCCCATACACTTACCTGTGTCCAGTTGCTATGGCTGCTCCCACACCCCAGCCTTGCTGTATGCTGGCCACATGCATCTGTGCATGCAGATGCATGTGTGCCTGCTGCCTCCAATCAAGCCAAGAAGCT